TTTATTATTTTATTATATGTCTTATCTTAATGTCTGTATCTCCCCTTCCCCAATTTTATGTGAGCCGCCCTGAGTCCCATCAGGGAAAAGGGCGGCCTACAAATATTAATAAAATCTCAAAAAATCTCAAAAATATCATTCCTCTGGGAAGGGCATCTTTTCCAGTGACTGGAAGATCATTGTGGTAATTTTTGACTTTTGCTAAAAAATACAATTGCCTGGGGTATTTGGATCTTAGGTGGCTCTTTAAATGCAAAATAGCTATGTTCAGTCTTGCAAATTTAATATGTCATAAAAATGAGTGATTTTCTATTATATTTGGTCTCTGTAATCCTGAAGAAGTTGGGAATTACAAATGGGTTGATGAAGGCGCATAAGAAGTATGTGAAGCTCAAAGAACAACGCAATGTGAGATTATTCTTAGAATAATAGGGCTCAAAGGGACCTTGGAGATCTTCTAGTCCACCCCCCCCCCAGCTCAAGGCAGGAGCCTTATGCCATCCTAGTCAAGTGCTATTCTGTTCCTGCACACATTGCTATTCATTTTTGATCCCTTGGAGGTACCTTCTCCTGAAGATTTCTAAATATGAAATTGTAATTCTCTTCTTCTAATGTAGATGACAATCTAAAGCAGACCCAGGTAAACAGTATATCTTGGATCTACCTATGTCAAAGCTCTTTATAAGTGATGGGGAACTTGATTTTTGTGAGATTTTTGTTCTGCATGGACAAACCTTGCTTTTATGTGTATTGGATCTATACACATAAGTTATTGTTTATAATAATTCTCTTATGTCACAGGACTTTCAAATAGCTTTCCTGATATTTTATTGTAGTAATCTTCCAACTAATAAAAATTATAATTTAGTATAGGCTTGCTACAATGGTTTTGGGGAAAAGACTGAATTGGTCTGTAAACCACAGTTGTGGTATATTATAAGAATGCTATCAGTAGTGAAGATGCTTGTAAAAGATAGTTCAGTAAAAATCTAATTAAAATCACACAATTTAAATTTGTTCTTAATGACTAAATTAACTATATTTATTGTCCAATTAATAATTTAATGCTAATTACAGCTTCTTGGATCAGAACACATTTCTTATTCTCTGCAGGTTCTTTCTCTTTCTTGCAAACTTTCCTTTGTATCTCGAATCACATTGTTATATCTGAATATATAAGCACACAGAACAATATGAAACTTTAATATTTCCCTTACTTCATTTCATATGCAAGGTTTCATTTCTACTGGTTCTTTTGTTGTTTAATTTCCTTATTAAGGGTGTTGTTTGCTTCCTCAAAATCTAACCGGTTTTAAATGAAGTCCTCCTCAATTAGTTTTATAGCAGCTGTTTAAAAATATCTGTATGATTTATGTAGCTTATTTTTAAAAACACTTTCATATCGATTTATGATTGAAATATGAAGAAAAATATCAGTGTTTGCCAAATTAAAATAAATCCTTATCAAATATATAAAGACATTAATCATTTAGGTAAGCAGTAATGAAAACTGCATTTGCGAACACAATGAAATTCTATCCAAATGAATGGATATCAATAATCCATTGCTAACTGCCAGTTAAAATGTTTGTCATTTGATCTATTTAGAAGAAAAACCAAAACAATGCAGCCAAAATTATATAAACCCTCCCCTCAGGAAAAAAAATGGCCTTTTTCTCCTTTATGAATGAAAAGTTTTATAATCTTATATTAAGGACTTGAATTTTTGTATATTTGGTGAAGTCTTGGAGGTGTAAATTAGAAGCCCTGGCCTATATTGACTACTAACCACAAGAGGGCAGTGTAATGTACAATAGATACAGAGTTTTTAAATTTATCTTTATTTATTTGTTAAATTTATATGCCACCTATTTCAATGTTGAAACAACTCTGGGCCACCTTCAAAATGATAAAAGAATAAATATAAAACCAAGTAAAATTTATGTGAATTAAATAGAGATTAAGAACCATGAGCACCAATAGTACAGAAGTGGGGCCTCCAAGTTTTAAGGTTCTTCTGGAAGGTCAGAAGGGTGGGGACCAGTGGCAAAATCAAAAAAAAAAATTGCCAATGGTTCTGTGGGCATGGCTTGGTGTGTGTGGGGTTCATGTGACTGGGTGGGCAGGGCCAACTTTTTTTCACTTTTTAAAGCATCTTTTTCCTGCCTGTTTGGGCAAATAGGTAGGAAAAATGCTTTAAAAAGTTTTAAAAAATGATTCCAATGATTGCGTGGATCACAGCTGATCTACTGATCGTCAGAATCATTTTTTCACTTTTAATAGCATTTTTTTACTACTGGTTCCGGCGAATAGGTTAAAAAGTGAAAAAAAGTTCCTTGAAAATCAGTTGTGCTGCGCAATCCTCGGAACCTTCCCCCCCACTTTTTAAAGCATTTTTACTACTTATTCACCAGAACCACTAGTAAAAAAAGTGCTTTAAAAAGTAAAAAAATAAAGGTTCTGAACGATCGTGCGGCACAGCTGATTGTCATGGAACCTTTTTTTCACTTTTTAAAACTTTTTTTTTTACTACCGGTTCAGGTGAACCTTAGCATTTCACCCCTAGTGGGGAGAGATCTCACCTGTGGCAGAAGGATGTTCAAAAGGGTGGGGACCAAGACACTTCTCCTAAAGCCCCTCCCCAGGCAAAATTCCTTGACAGACAGGGTCTTCAGCAAGCCCTTTCTGCTAGAAAGAATGGGATAGGCAAATCCTGTTGGGCCAAGATGTCTCTTCAGATATGTTAAGGATTGATGAGTTAAATATTTATTCTGTGCCCCTCTTTGTCTACTATTCTGCAGGCAGTTTATCCAAAAGATTGTTAATCTGAAGTCATTTATTTTGGTATGCACAAAGCATGCATGTTCTTAGCTTCTCCTGGGTAGGCTGTAGCTAGCTAAGTGCTTTGCCTATCTCTCTAATGTGTTTCTTGTAAATAAATGCCCTTTCTGTAATACCTGTACCACCTGCTTCACTAATCCTTGCTGAAGTCAGATTCCTATTCCTAGAAATATCCGCATGCACATGTAGAACAGTTCAACCTCCAAGAAAAGGGCAATTTATCTTTCTGAGAATCATACAAAGCTGAAATAACTACAAATTTGCAGCCAGCCTCACGGGCTAGGCTATAAAGATTTAATTCCGATCTGACTCTCTACAGGAGTTGCTATAAATGAGTTTAAACAACTGATGCTGTCAAAATGAACAGTAGCTGAGTTTTTACTGGGTTTGCAAAATCAGACAGGGCTACTCAGAAATAAGAGGAAGTATAAAGCACACAGAGGAGCATCCTAAAGTCTGTGGAAGTAGATTAAAAGACTAAGGCAGAGAATATTTTTAGAGAATAGAGCATTGCCTCCTTCATTATAAATCTCTTCAGAGGCTACTTCAGTGTGTAGGACTGCAGGTGGTGTTGGGAAGAAGACTGTTAAAATTTGCTTTAGGATGGGGAGTAGCTAAAAAGTTTCTCTCTCCTTCTCAACAATGTTTGCTATCAATTTTGGGAAGATATATAACCCCCTTCCTCCTGACAGAGGAAAAACAATGAAAACCAAGCAGCTGGAAAGAAAAGACAAACAGGAAACTGTTAGGGCAGCTCAAAGTTTCAGAACAGAATTTTTTTTCCCAATGATACTTGAAGTGGATATATTTATTAGAAAGTTTATTGCAATTAAATTTAAATGTTCTCTGGATGAGAAAAGTGGTATCTTGATTTAGACCAAACAGACAAAAGACCAGAATCTATACAGGTCTTTGTTCATAACATCCATTCGCAGTTACAATGGTGATGAAAAAGGACTTTTGTGATCAATCCTTCCATTTATGACCTTTGAAGATCTATAAGACAAAATAAAGCTGAAGCAAGCTCATAAGCACAATCACAGTTTCACTTAGCAACTACTTCACTTAATGATTGAGTTGCTGATCCTGATTGTGGTTAGTAAGCAAGGAGTAACTAATAATCACAGCATTAATCCATATTTAACACTTACCTCACCTCCTAACCTTGTCGGGATTTGACTGCTTGAAGGAAGTTGAATCCAAAACTTTGCATTACCCAACTTCTCCTTAGACAAAACATCTAAACAGTTTTGCCATGCTGTCTCTGAAACAGCAAGACAGGCTAGCTTCTCATTGATGCGAATTCTTGCTTCATCACTCTTCCCACTTAAAAGAAGGAGCAGGTATTTTTCCTTTCTTTCTCCATAATATTACACAGCTTTGAGTGTTTAGCTGACAAGAAGCCAGAAGAGGGCTTTGCATAAGTGTGTATGTACAGAAGTTTTTTTCTGGCATAAATAATAAGTAATCCATGAGCCTTCAAAAATGGCAAAATGTCTCCTCCTAATTCAGCCAGGTGAATTGTGTCACTTTCATGGCCCAAATGTGCCATGGGGACAATGTTTCCCACTTCTATTTGCTCTTACTCACCTTTTTTAGCTGGAAACCTATATGTACCAGCATCCGTGAGGTATTTGCAGGTCTTTGCGTCAATGCTACTACAATGTTGTCTGTAGTCATAAACTCTGAAACTTTGATGAAATATTGATTTCTTGAAAGAGCATCTATTGTGGATTAACAGACATGATAACACAAATCAGACTTGATTAAGACTTTCTTTTACTCTCTTTCTCATCACACAAACACACACACACACACACACACACACACAATCTTTAGATAAAGGCAAGTGGATCTAATATCTTCCAATTGTTATTTAACTCTAGAAGGTCACTACCCAATGCTATCAAAGAAGATAAGGAATTCCATTAGTAGTTACAATTCTGAGAAGTTCTCAGACCCATTTACAAAAGAATAATGCCACTTTATCTTGGACAATTCCTTGTTAGAAGGAGCTTTGATTATTGAGCATCATTGTAATTTATTCCGATATACTGCAGCCACAATATGTCTTTGAACAGTTAACATTTCTGAAATAAAGCGTGCAACCTCTCAGTAACCTTTGACAAGGAATAGTGACACAGAAAACTGCCAGGTATTGATATAGACCACTGATCCATCAAGCTAAATATTTTCTCCATTGACTGGAAACAGCTTCCCAATTCCAGTTTTCTGGAAATTTCAGAAATTGAAACAGGGAGGTCTGGCTCCGTTAAATTCAATGAAATGTATGTCAAGATGGATAAGCAAGATTATACATTCATATGTTGTAAATGGCATAAGGTTCATGAAATAGAAGGCCATTCATTAACCTTGTGTAAGCTGACCTTTGTTAAAGAATAGCACTACTCTAGATACTGTTTCATGTTGAATACAATATATAAACATTTTAAATAAATGCATGTGTAAATAACAAATCTAAAATACAAATGACAGACACTTGGAGATAATGTAAAAATAACTTAAGACTGCAATTCTCATTTGTCTAAGAGTAACCCCAATTGGGACTTATCTCTACATAAACTTGTGTGTGATTGCATTGCAAAATGCTGAAGTATTATTTAAGAAGTCCTGGCTTTACATTTTGGTTCTCTGGCAGTGATGTGATTACTAACAATCAACAGCAATTTGAGGGCACATAATGAGTCAAAATGATTATTATTGTCACCATCATTTTTTCCACAAATAAGTGTATTTAGAAATCCAAGCCAATTCTAATTTGCCCTATTATTGTCTGTTTTAAATATTGTTTTAAATTCTTCATTGAACGTCCTTTCATTCAGTGATTGTTCAAAATTGCAACAGCATTGAACGAGGGACACTTTACTATGGGTCCTCGTAGTTGTAGAAGTTGCAGGGTCCCCATGGTCACATGACCCTGATTTGGGCATTCAGAAAATCACAACATTGCAGAATTCTGCAGTCATATGATCATAATTTGTAACATTCACGTGGCCTCCAAGAAGCAAAGTCAATGGGGAATTTGGCAGGAGATTGCAAATGGCAATCACATGACTGTGGGACACTGTGACCATATGGGAATCATCTAATATTGGCAGCTGGGACTGTGGCAACTACCATCATAAGTTGGCATGGTCATAGATGCCGTGTTTTACAATCACATTGCTTAGTATTAGAGTTTCCATTCCCAGTTACTTTTGGCAAAACTGGATTACTTGTAATCTGAATAAAAATTCAAGAGGTACTACACAGACTATCATTTATATTACATACAGGGCATAAAGTTATCCATCTCCATATTTGCAATGTAACTATAATATTGTTAAATATGATATTCCTGTGAAAATGGTTTAGGATATCAACTTATTACCTCAGGCTACTTACTTCGAAAGTTGCTTTCTTCTGGAGATAATTGGTTGAAATATGAAACCAAAGACCAAGACGTCTTCTTACCAAAATCCAGGAATGTGGGCATGTTATTGCAAACTGACAGGAATGAAAAATTCTCTTTCAAATCTTCAAATGATATCCTGAGAAAAGAAAATGTGGATTTAGGCTGCAGATAAATGTTAGTTACCATTTCTAGTGTGCATTTGCAATTTTTAGAAGCCTAAAAAATTTCCTAGTGTGCAAGTATCTATGTAGGTAAGTATGTGTGTGGATACAGGTAGATAAAGATAGAGATGATTTAGATTTGGATTTGGATTTGGAGATGGACATACTGTAGAGAGATATGCAATTTAACATGGAGAAATCTCCCAAAGCCTATTTCATGAATGTGATAATACCAGAATTCGCCATCAGCCCTGTTCACATAGAATTTGTCCTTGAATGATTGAGGGACGTGATCCCATTCCATGGAACTGTAAAAGAGATCAAAATCATGTATCACTTGAAAGATACCAATAGCCTTGCCATTGTAATGTTAGTTTATAGACCTTTTCATGCATAAACCTCCACTTTGAGGAATCACATCTAAAACTTGAAGTCCAAATGGTGGCGAATTGCACCCAAGAAAATGCCACTCTCCCCCAAGGGTGCATTTCATTTTACATTTCTTTTATGCAGAAAGATTAATTTGTTCAATATATTTTGTAGAAAACTTTTCATCTGCATGTGAGCTTGGCCTGTTTTACTACAGAGTTTGTGGAATTCTTCTCATTACTGGATTCAGTTTGCTTCATTCGGCTGCTTCTAATGCTAGTGTGACCTTTACAACAAAATTGCAAGGATAATTACAGGGAAAGAGAGTTCTTCTCTAATGAGATAGTCAGCTTTCCACAACAAAACCCAGGAAGTGAATAAAATAGTTCCTGGAAAATAGGGCTGATGCAAATACTACATCTTAACCAATTGTTCCAAGCAATAGAATTGAAAACAGTGATCCTGTTCAGTTCTCCATTGTGATGATTTCTGCAAATCATGTAGTAAAGTTGCAAAGAATCATTTTATCATGACAACAAACATAGGTAGGTAGTGCTCTTTACAGCAGTTGCCTCCTATTTCTTGAAAGAATGCATGGACCTCTCCTGTCATTTATTGTTACAGATAGTCCTCAAATTACAACAGCAATTGACACCAGAATTTCAATTGCTATGTTGTTGTTGTTGTTATGAAGTCATGTCTGACAACATCATAACCCCATGGACAACGTTCCTCCAGGCCTTCCTGTCCTCTACCATCCTCTGGAGTCCCAATGACAGGACCAAATGATACAAAATAGCTGTGCAATTCTCAATATAGAATTTTGGAATTGAAAAACAAACAAGTAAGTTTCAAATGTAGTTTGAAACTCTTATTATTTAATTAAGAAACTCAAATTCCAGACAGAAACTCAGAGGGAGCGATTTTTAAAAACCTAACATTTACTTATGCAGATCAGTCATCGGCTGGTCACTGAACTGGAATTGCTGGGAATAAAAGTTTACCATCATCATGAATTGAGGATATGCTTGGAATGCAGGTCAGGTTCAATTAAGGTCAACCTCAATGTTCTCATTGGTTAAAGTATAGTCTTGGATGGCCTCTTTATTAAGAAAATAATTCTTTCCATCTCTGACTTCTGATATTACCTCTCAGCAAACTCATTACAGGGAATTAGCTATCTAACTGTTTTAATTCCCAGGCTGCAATTTTATAATTAAGTGATAATTGTATTGTCTGCTTAGCATGAGCTAGGCGTGAATCAATAACCGTATTGATTTAAACAACTTAAGGCTGCTTCACCAAAATTTCAACTGAATCCAAATTAGACATTAATTTTTTGAACATAGAAAAGCTGTAGAGGTTAGTTGCATTCCAACAACCTTTTCAAGGAAATTTTATTTCTTGATGCTTTTCAGCAAGAGTCCTATTAACAGCGCCAATGGAAAAGAAGCTGTAACTCTATAGCATTGCTCCCAATCTTAAAACCAGAGAATGGTCCATATTATCTAACATGATCATTCTCTGTTTTCGGCATAGAGTACTAGGGAAAAATCACAAACTATTTTTTTTTTCATAAAACTGCAAAATTATTCCCATGGAAAGCAATGAAGCTTAATAATACTTTTTTGTTTTATTTCATTTCGTTTTTTGGATTGAACCCAGGGTAATTCTAGCAAATTGTTTCTAAATGTGATGAAGGAAAATACTATACAATGTCTGAAATTAGGAACCAGATGATAACCTGCCAAAATTGAATAGCTGGCAAGGCTAAAGGGAGCTATTTCAGTTTCTCCAAGCTATAATTTTGCAAATGATTTTAGCAGCCGAGATGGACTATTTACTACCATGGCAGGTTGCAATGTTGGTTTCCTTTCCTCCCACATTTTTAACTTATATTTATAAATAATAGATCTCCTACTGTCTGTGGTCTTGCTGGCAGCAATAAACAGCTGTCACAATGCTTTTCTTGGCACCTCCTACTGTTCCCTTGCCAGAGATGGTGATGGCGGGAGTGGCAACAACAGAGGACCTCTGCTTCTACAACTACTTTTCAAGCATTTTAGGGCAGCTGAAAGATCAGTTTCCAGCTTAGAACCTTTTAGATCAGGAGTGTCTAATGTTGGCAACTTTAAGACATGTGACCTTCAGTTCCCAGAATTCCCTGGCCAGAACAGGAATATGGAATTCTGGGAGTTGAAATCCACAGCTGTTGATATTGCCAAGGTTGGACATCCCTGTTCTGGATTATTTGGCTTCATGATTTCTGTATCCTTGCCCACAGACATATTGGCTGAGGGTTTGTCTAGATATATTACATAAAAGTTATCATTCGTCCAATTTAAATTTGCCTCTAAGTGCAAATTGCGGTAACAATTCCATTTGGGGTGGGGGAGGAAACAATTAATAAAAAATGGTAAGATCTGGCATTATCCGAATGAAGATAAATGAAATAGAAATGCCTAGTGATGTCTTGAATTTTAATATAGAGCATGAAATGCCGATCCTTGGGTTGCAAGATTAGTTCTTGCTAAAGTATTATTATTCCAGGCCCCTTCGTGCTAAGTCTTAAAAGAGTGTTCTCATTCCAAGAACTCAAGGGAGTCATCTTTCTTAAGAGATAAAAGGTTGCAAAATCATACTGATCACTCCAAGCTCCATTCCATTCCTCAGTGCCCCACGGATTCCAAAGTTTGATTAGAGGTTCTTTCCTGTACATGTAAGGGACCTATTAGAAAGAAAGGAAGGGAAACTTTGTATATTTGGCATGAGGGAAGATATTTTATATTTATATTTTGGTGGATATCTCTTGAAGTATCTTTAGATAAAGATAGATGTGATCCTGTTATGGAAATCCTTTTCTGAACACGGATAGTTTAGAGGTCAGACCATTATACCCCCTATTCAGAATATCAAATCCTATCAGAATTAATCCTGATCCCAAGGATACTACTAGACCAAATTTATAGATATAAGTCCTTTCTCTTCATATTAACATTTATTATTGAAAATAAAGTGAAGATGACCAGCAGTAAAATAGTTCAAATAGGTCAGTTACAGTGGTGATGGGTACAATATTGGAAGATCTGAAGGGCCAGGTTGAGAAGAGATCATCCTGGAAAATATTGATCTCTATGGTCTCTAAGCGTCATCACTGAATCTATCAACGCTAATCAATCAATCAACATTTATTACCAAAAAAAAGTAACCTGCCTATTTATGAAAATTTCAATTTGGGTTTTGGGTGATATGCAGATCTCTAGAAAAAAAAACAAAGTTTCTTTTAGGAGGCATTGCTTTATGCATTTCTACTTATGAATAAATAAGAAACATAAAAAGCTTCCAAGGAGATACATAATACATCTAAAAGATCTGTCATCTTGGAATATATTCACTGAATTCTGAATTTGACTCTCATTTGATATTAACCTCTCTGTCTCAGTATCTAAGTGCTATCTGTTCACACTTCGAATGTATTTTTTTCTCTAACTATACTTATTGCCAAAAAGGTATCCCACAAGGTCATTTTAGGATCCCTTTTCATATAAGACTTGAAATGTTTTGCTTAAGAAATATATATCAGTAATAAATTCTGGAGAGGTGGAGAGAACAAGCTCAGTTTTCAGGCAACTCTTAGAAATAACCAACATTTCTCCCTTGTTCTTACAACTAATTCAGCCATGTCACCCAGCTGCTTTGACCTCCACTCCTAACTCAGCACTGTTTCAGCCTGTGATGACTCTACATGGAGAGTGACTGGCATGAGCCAGCAACTTATATAACTGCGATGCCATCATTTTATATCTCAGAAATTGCTACACATCATATCCATCCACAGGGTAATTCAGCTTAGTTTTCTCAGTATAATCAGTACTATACAATGGGGGAAAATGAACTTCTGCATATAAACCAAATCCTTCAATCTTTTTGTTTGAGGGTTGATTAGAATAACCTGAGAATATCATGAGAATTTCACCTCTCTACAGAGAAATCATTGGTAGATAAATGCAGTATTATCTAGTGTAGTTCCTGGTATGGAGCCAGTGGTTAATGCATCACCTTAATCATAAAAGTTTATGGCTTAAGCAAAGTCATTACAATAATTAAAGTCTTTATACTTAAAGGGAATATATTAAATCATAATACTGAATGAATATCATTATCTGTTTAATCATATATTCTGTACAACAGTGGTATCATTCTTGGCTTCAAAAGTGCTTTATGCTAATGCAAAAAAAAATACTATTTTTTTTCTCATAGGGGATTGGAATGTCACTACAGTAACAGATTTCACATATAATAGTCCTATCCCCTATGAGAAAAAATAGCATTTTTTGTCTGTAGTGTTGGTGGGAAAGGTATCTGAAAGAAGTGTCTGTGTTGTAGCAACATCTGTGAAGCCTGATAATTAAGCTAGCCCACTGGATTTGCTATTTAAATTTTCCATAAGACTCATGAAATACTTCTCACAGTCATCTAATGTAGTACTCTTTTTTCCATGACCCATTATCCACAGGTCTAGGAGGAAACCCATTAGAAGTTACATTGTGAAAGTCTTCTTCAAAAATGGAGCTGGTCTTCAAAGGGAAATGTCTTCATAATATATTTGGCTGTTTAACTCTAGATCAAGAGTTTTGCAGGACAATGGATGTCAACATCTGTTGTCACCACTGTGCCCTTCTCTCCCTCTGCAGAAAGCCAGATCAATTCTGTATCTCATATTAAGGGGTAGGCTTGCTGCTACTGATGTGAGGAAAACCAGAGGATTAGATAAAGTCGCTGTCTTTCAAGACCTTTTCTCTTGTCATTGTGGATATTAGCATCAGAAATTATGTCTCCGGTGGGATGAAAACTAACCCCATCCTGATCCTCTTAGCTGCAATAACGTCTTTGCTTTCTTTCACAATTGTTGGATTATTTCTTCTGGCTAAATTGATCTACTCTGGAGAAGATGATATTAATATTTGGGGATGGCAAAGGCTTGTGCTTTGGAAGAATAAGCCTGAGTAAATGACTTTTTCATCCTATTCCAAATTTCTGACCCGCTGTTTCAATGTAAACAGCAAAGCTGAGCTTGAGCTTGGGCTATGTAGCATAACGCACATTTCTAGGGTAGTTGTCAATGGATGTGGTTTTATTATCCTTTAAGGGATGTATAATTCTATTAAGTTTTCTATCAAATAGAAAAGGCTTCAGCAGCAGACTTTCTGGGAAACCGAAATTACATTCAATCTTTCTTGCTGTCCCTCTGTCTTTTATTACACAAAAGTATGATCCTTGTTCCCAGAAAATGAGAGAGAGATATTTTCAATGCAGATGAATTTTCTATTGAATATGTGTGTGTGCATGTGTATTTACTATGAGATTGCACACCTATCAAAGCAAACATAGGCTGTTTGCATGAAAGTTGAAAGCATGAAAATAGCATGCCATTCAAAGCAGCAACCATTTTTAGTGCTACTCTCATTTTTTAAATTCTGGAATGGAATGGAAATCAAGGCCATGGAACATCCAAGTGGTTTCTTGCATAGACATTATATAGATTTAGCCTTGCTTAACTTCAGCATCATGCATGAACTATCATGTGCTATCAAATCAATCTATACTACTCAATGTTCTTATCTATAGAGGGCAATTGTTACCTGAGAAACAGCCTGTTATTCAAAGATTGTTGTAGGGGAGATGTCATTCCAAGACTCAGAACAAACAGTTTCCCCACCCTCTTTTGGTGTATCACAACAAACGTACCTAGTACACATGTGGACATTATGAACATGTTTAACAGGGAAGATTTCAGAAACGGTGCAGTGATGCTACACTATTGCACCTCCTGCAGAAAATAACAAAGAACCCCATTTTCTGCCCCTCCTAAGTAACTCTGGGTCCTACAACCTGACTCTCCCACTTTTTGTGTTGTAACTGAAATAAACCTCAGAGCTTTTCCTTTTCCTTGCAGTTGAATTGCAGGATGCATTTTACATTGGCTTCGGCTGTGGAATAGTTTTTTCGGTGCCTAGAAAGCCAACAGAAATTGCTCTGACTGATACCATAGGGTTAGATGATGATGGTGATAACAATGATGATAATGGTAATAAGAATGCAGCCCACCCTTTCTTCACATAGAAAAAAAGGAGATGTGGTGGGAGATTTTTGGTTATTGTCTGATGTAACTGCTCAATTCCTGGCAGTTGAATTACATGAATATTGATGCCTTCTCAACAAACAGAATGAAGAATCCTTCTTGGGCCGCTATGCATGCATTTAAATGAAAGTGCAGAAACTGGCAGTTGGCCAATGACTCATTAAATTAATACCTTAAAGGAGCATCTGTCATGCTCTTTTCAGGAAATCTTGTGAGTCCTCATCAAAATCACCTGCAGCTATAGATTTGAGTGTTGCTGTGGCAACTCCATTCTTTTGGCAGCTTGTCCTTGAGCAAGGTGGCTCTGCCTTGTATCAGATCAATCATCTGTCCTGTGAGGTCACACTAGCATCCTTAAAATATCTACTTAGGTTATAGAATGTTATTTCTATTACGTGGTTTCCAACCCTTGAAATCTTCTGACATTAAGAATGAACCCTAAGCAGCTTACTAGTTCTCACTGCATTGAACACAATCAATTTGCTTATGATAGTTTCAAATTAAATTATCTCCATGGAATGAACCTACTTATGTCTTCATTCATTTATATTCTGTTAGCCTCTTAACATTTGCTGGGGTTTCTTTTTCAGTAGCAAGTTATCTTTTAGTACCATTGGCTTAGACAATAAATATTAACTATGAGCTTAGAGTTCTTAATCCTTTACTTGAAAACAGGGCATTGGCAGACTATGGACTTGACTAATTATTTATTTTTTACTCCAACCAAAAGTTGTTTGGAGTACTTTTGGAAAGCAGGACTGAAGTGGTGGAATCACTATGAGGAAAGGAATATTGTCTTCTGGTTCATAAAGCAATATATCAACAAAAATAAAGGGGAAAAACAGTAGGACAGTTGCCAGTTAGAAGATAAGACAATGGGGAAAGGAGAGATTTATTCATTTTACCTCTCTGGCATCTGTAACAGCATAGACATGTTGCTGCACAATTCCATTCTCCAATATTTGGCTACCCGGCTTTTTCTGAAAGAGTACAAAACAGTTTTATTCTCTCCAAAACATTTACATTTGGTCCAACAGTTTCATTTTGATGGCACAGTGGCTCAGTGGTTAAAACGCTGGGCTTGTTGGCTGGAAAGCCCAGGTTCAAGCCCCAGTGTTACACAACAGGGTGAGTTCCTGTGCTCACCTAAGCTTCTGCCCACTTAGCAGTTTAAAACATGAAAGTAGATAAATAGGTCCCACTTCTGTGAAAAGATAATAGCCACCTGACCACAGCAATGTCTTCAGACAACACTGGCTCAATTACCTTGAAATGGAGATGAGCACCGCTCCCTATAATGGCAACAACTAATAGAGCAAAATCCACAGGTTTTCATTTATCTTTTTAAAAAATGGGAACAAAAATCTGGATCTTTTTTCATGGGAGAGGCACAGCCACCACTAAAATTATGGGTGCTTACCCTTAGGATATGTACTACTTATGGCACAAGCATAATTGAGCTAAATCAGCTGAATAGCTTTGACTTGCCACCTGCTGAGTTTGATAAGCTCCCTATTTTTTAAAGCAACATAAGCAGTGAAAAGAAGGGGTTTACTTAAGAGCGCTACAAGGCATATGCATTTTAATTTGCCTCTTCTGCTTTTGAGAAAGGATGATCTACTTCCCCTCTAGCAGAATAAATTTCTGGATCTCATTTTTGTTCCTAAGAAAGTCTGCTTAAGCCCAAATAGTACAGTATTACTGAGAGTTAGCAGAGGCAAATGGGAATTGTATTTCAGAAAATATATAAGCTGATCAAAGACCCTTCCAGCTTTGTTTAACCTTTAATAAGTGTGATGAGTTTATAGCAGCACTGGGCTCTGTATACATAGGCATTGGATTTTCTCTGGTGCTCCATGAAATGACCGGGAAATAGAGGATAAGATGTAGAAATATTTCTGCAGAAAGCATGCTGTGACTGTATGCCAATATTTTTTGAAGTTTTAAAGAAAGCTAGAAAAACATTTCTTAACAACCTTATGCATCAGGGTTTTTCCCACTTTTTTGGTGGGGTGGGATGATAAATGCTAGCCGTGGTTGTTTGTTTCTTTGTTTCTTTGAGAGAGAGATTTGAGAGATTTATTAGATTTATATGCCGCCCTTCTCCCAAGGACTCGGGGCGGCGTTACAACAATTAAAAGAAACACATGATATAAAAGTTAAAAAATAAATAAATGGAATATCCCTAACCCAATTAAAATTGACAATACTTTTTTTTTAAAAAAAATCAAATTAAAATTAACAGTGATCAATACTGTATTTTGTTTTGTTCAGGCCAGGCTGGCTTGCTGGAAAAGCTAACTTTTTAGGGCGCGTCGGAAGGAACAGAGATCGGGGATTATACGAAGCTCCGGGGGCAGTTCATTCCAGAGGGAAGGTGCTCCCACAGAGAAGGCCCTCCCCCTGGGGGTCACTAGCCAACACTTTCTGGCCAACGGCACCATGAGGAGGCCAACTCTGTGTTTGCTTGTTTCCAGCCTTTATTATTTTTACAAATCACTCAATTTGGCAAACACCCACAATACTTCTCCCTCCTCCTGTTTCCCCCACAACAATCCTGTGAGATGAGTTGAGCTAAGAATGAATGACTGGGCCAAAGTCAGTCAGTCAGTGACTCAATCAATCAATCAATCAATCAATCAATCAATTAGAATAGAGCTGAAAGGGAGCTTTGAGGTCTTCTACTCCAACCCCTTACTCAAACTGGAGACCCCATTTCAGACAAGTAAATATTCAGTCTCTTCTTAAAAACCTCCAGTGATGATGACTTTCATGGTTACGGTATCACAATCTTCCAATTTCTAGCCTGATCTCTTAACCCCTAGGCCAAACTGACTCTCGGTATTACCAATTCCATAATAGATTCTGTTGGAACTGAACATTCCAAATACTTTCTTATGAAATTTTGAGTTAGCTTAATTTATATCTCTATTATGGGTGGTTAATCTACATTTAGAAGAAGAAGAAGAGAGGAGAGGAGGAGGAGGAGAAGGATGATGATGATGATAATGATGATGATGATGACATCATTCTGGATTTAATAGTGCATAGGGAATCCAATTCCACCAATTCCTATTTCAGTAAAAGACCAGAAAAGTAAAATCCTCCATCCCAAACTTGCTAATAAATGCCATCTTATAAATGTCAACTTGAATAATTGAACTTTCTATTCTTCCTTTTCCCTCTATTCCCTATCCTTTTACGTCTTTTTATTGGCAGTTGTGAACTAGCTTTAGAATTTAGTGTTCTTTTTAAATTGAAATGAGCTGCTTTGGGAAACAGTAGTTAATCGAAGAACAGAATCAAATATAGGAAGTAAGTAAATGAACAACAAGGTATGTAAAGGATCCTATATGATCTGACAGGCTGCAAGGACATTATTGAGATCAAATTAAGTCCTAAGGGCAGAACATGTTTGAATGTTCTTATCCAAGCCACTCCACTTATACCTGCCCATTTGTATTACTACATCCAACTTACACTATTGGAAGCAGTATTGAAAGAAGAAAAGCATTCTGACCAACTCTTTAGGATTTTAAATATGGGAGAATGCCAGTTGAGATTCCAAGGCAACCTGTCCCCTGTTGCATCATCATTACTTAACCTCTTTCCTTACCTAAAAACAGTAACGGAATGACAACAGGTGGGCAAAAAAGGAATGGGCACAACAGTAACTTTCAACTTCCTGCTGGCTGCCCCATTGATTTTCTTTGTGGGAAGTTGGCTGGGAGCACTGGAAATCCTCCCTCCCTCCTGTTTTTGTCAGAAAGTCAACAGAACCCAGAAAAAAGCACATCTCAATTTTATATATGATCTGCACATGTAACAAGGAGCAGTGCCAAACAAGTTTAATCTTCTACAGACAGTTGTTGAGTCTGAAGTCCTAACTCCACTTGGTTCCTTTAGTCAAATCAAATTTTTCTATGGATTGGAGCTCCCAACTTTCTAGTATTATCGTGTGATCATATATGTTTGGTGGATCAACAGAAGTATTAGTTCATATTCTTGCTTTCTGGCATTCTTCTTAGCAGTATCCAAACTGTGAATTGTTTTCCACCATGAAAGGATCATTTGTGTTCCACATGCATCATTTTTTAAAATTTTCCAAGAACCTTCCATCAAAACTGTACATTGTAATGGTTGTTGTTTTGATAGCTAAAGGATTTGTTCTAGTAATTTTAGAGGAACTATTCTGAGAATCTCTTCTGAACAGCAGGCTGCCAATCTCTGTAAAGCTAACTTCTAACTTACCATTTGAGGAGTGCTGCATGCCATGAGACAGCCTGATAAAGCAGCAGTTTTCATTATTTCAAACAAATGATCAGTAGTCCTTCCAAGATTGTATGTCAACTGTACCCCACCTGTGAGATCCACAAAAGCTTCAGAGATAAAACCATAGTGCAACTTCTCATAAGAACCACGCAATCTAAAAGCAAAGGGAAGACATTCAAGGTAGCAAACATGAAACAACACAAAATGTTTATATGTATAGAAATATAAAAGAACATGGATAGTTAGAGAAGTTCAGGCACGTTAATGGTAAATGTTCTTTCTAGCACCACTAATGTGCTCTGCTAAGTCAGACTAGAAATAGAAACACAGCTTTAAACGGAGAGAATATTTATATTACATTGTCATTTTTGATTTACCTAATAGGCTAGATAATCTTTTTTCTTTCTTTGTCAATTAAAAGCCAGTAAATCCATTATACTATATATTTGTTAATGGTTCATTGTTTTAGATTTATTTCATTTCTCAATTCAACACAAACAGTAAGTCTTTCTTTGATTCTAATTCATCTCTTTTTCTTTTTCTTCCTTCTTTGCTTCCTTGCTTCCTTCCTTCCTTCCTTCCTTCCTTCCTTTCATCATATAAATCAGAGGTGGGTTGCTCCTGGTTCAGTCCAGATTGGGTGAACCAGTAGTAGCAGCGGCGGAAGGCTCTGCCCACCCGCCTGGATGCTTCTGCGTATGCACAGAAGCGTCACGCACAGATGACCATGAACACGAGCAAACCAGTAGTAAAAAAAACTTGAAATAGAAGCAGCTTTTGGAAATATTTACTTAGCATAAGCTTCCTCAAGCATAAAATATTCTACAAGAAAAAGTTGTAGAAAGATTTGCTTCTTCTCTGCATTTGTCAGACTCTCCAAATAACTTCTAAAAACTTCTCTTTTCTTTTCTTTTCTTACAAATCTTTGTCCCCAGATAAGCCTTTATACATTTTTAATGCAACAACTACATAATACATCACATACTGAAAGATAAAACAACACCCTTGATTACAACCTGAAGTTAAAAACATTTTCTCTGTTGGAAGGAGATCCGCCACAGATAAGTAAACAGGAAAAATAGAATAAAATTAAGCACAGCCTAGGCATTTATTTTTTGCTCCATTTTTATTTAGTTCACATCATCAAATATTCCTCAGATAGTGGCACAACACATACCAAAAACCATGTTTCAAGTTTTTGTTTTATTTTATTTTGAGTTTGTATTTATTAATGCAAAAGAAAAAAAAGAAGAATCAGAGTTCATTACAATAGTAACATATGCCATTTAATAAAAGTAAGTACTGAACTCAATCTGAGCTTTATCCTGTATTTAAAAGAATGGAAATCCATGGTCTATTTTATTTAAAACTAATGTCCTCAATCTAGCATTTTCCTTTTTATTTCTTTGTTAACTTTTTTCTTGTCTTGCTTGTACTTTTTGCTTTGCTGTGCTTTCTTTCTTTTTTTCTTTCTTTTGTTTATATTAGTTTTTATCTTCTTTTTAAAAAGATATATGTGTGTGTGTATGTGTATGTGTATGTGTATGTGTATGTGTATGTGTATGTGTATGTGTATGTGTATGTGTATGTGTATGTGTATGTGTATGTGTATGTGTATGTGTATGTGTATGTGTATGTGTATGTGTATGTGTATGTGTATGCTTAGCACTGGCTCAATACTTTCACCCACTGAAAGTTTGGTATTTTGGGTCTTGATCGCAACCATGACCCCACCAACTTTGTGACTGATTTACATTGTACTCTGTATAATCTTCAGAAGGCTGCATTGCAATTTAAGAAAGTTATTTCCTAGCCTCTGGAATTAAAAATGCATGAAAAGAAACAATAAGAAAAGTCTATCACTATTGTTTTGCTTGATTGCCATAAAAGTTACTAGTAATGGCAGTAAATTTGAATAGATTGCCTTAGTTAGCTATTTATTTGGTTGTCCATTTCACAAAAATGATTCTGCAAGGCATACAAAAATTAGAACAAATGCTACAAAGTTTCTTGATAAGTTCCCACCCACCCACCCTCAGTGTTGTGCCAGACCATTTCTTGCTACTGTTAGGCATGTATGCAATATCTTAATAAATTATTATGCTTTCCATTTATGTCTTTTGGGGAACATACCTAATAAAAATATTTATGGTCTAAATTCTAGCTTTATTTTTAGAATTTTTAGAATGTTTTGGTGTACTTTTTCCGGTTCTTCCGATGATGTGATAAAATATTCCTTTCTTATTGTAGCATTTCCAATATTTATTGTTGAATGATTTTTCCACTTTGGTAATCATTCATTAGATTCTGTTCCAGTTTGTAGCTTGGAATAAACTTCGTGATATTCCTCCTCCCTAGTTTTTCCTATTGTTCCATTGTTATTACTTCTTTAAAAGTTTTGCATTCATTTGATCATACAATTTTTATTTTGTTCTATCTCGGTGTCATATTTTCAATAACAATTTTAAATATGCCATAACATTATCTTAATTCTTTATCAGTATTTTCAATTCTGACATATTTGGGCTGTGTTAAGCTTCAAAGTATATTCACCATTATTTACACAACAGATTTCCTCATATTTTGTTGGCAATCATGGCTGGCATCTTGAAAGGCCAGGGATTGGTTGGGCTCCTATCATTATAGCTAAGTGACCTGACTTTGAATTGGTCTTAAAAATTGGTCAATCATATCAACAGTAACAGAACTCACTAACCTTGTGAGAGACTAACAGGGCTGGGCATATTTCCAGGGGAAAGCAATGGGGAAGCCAGATTCAATTAGCAATTGTTTTATTAACTTAACAACTAAGTAGTAGTTCACCTAACAACTGTGGCAAAATGGTGCAAAATTCATTTAACATCTGTCTTGCTTAGCAACATAATTTTGGGGCTCAATTGTCAAGGACTACCGCTAAACGTATGAGTTTTAAATGAAACAGGAAGATAATTTTTTCCCCATTGGTGGCCTCATGATTTTTTCCATTCAGAATCTGTTAAAGATATCAATATATTGAAACCTGGGTTGGTGATTGTTCTAGTCAGTGACTGTGACCAAAGACATACTGTATCTATCTATCTTTTGAATAAGAATTATTTTTTGGCAGTATGCTTGTTATGTTTAAATATGGAATTATTATCTGCAATCCTGTCTAAACAGACTACAGTGGTGATACATAAGCTTAAGCAAAACCTCAAATATTTACTTGGCATAAGCTTTCTCAAGCAGAGGTGGCCAGAATTCATTCTTGCTCCTGGGATGAACTGATAAGTAATTTCCATCAATGAAAGGCAGTCGGTCGTCTATCACCACATCAACCCAGCTTCCAAAATACCAGAACTACAAAACAAAAGAAAGAAATGTAATTTTAGATAAACAGTTTTTTTTAATGATAGCACATCATAAAATGTCATAAGAACACATCAATTATTTTTTTAAATAATTGTTTTTATAGTTCTTTCCTATCCTTTGGAAGTCAAGGAGATGTTTATGGAAGTATCTTTTCATTATAAATCCACAAGAACATCTTGAGTTAGACCCAATTGGGAGAAAATGCGTGTTTGGAAATTAACAGGAAGTTTCATGATTGAGTGGAGACTATTTTTTTTTTAAAAAGTGTATATGCAAAATGAAAGAAAGAGCATAAACATCTCCTTGACTTCCAAAGGATAGGAAAGAACTATAAAAACAATTATTTAAAAAAATAATTGATGTGTTCTTATGACATTTTATGATGTGTTA